TATATATCTATCATCTATATCATCTATCAATCAATCTATTGATCTATCTATCATCTATCATCTATATTTATCTATCATCTATCGATATTATTATTATTATTATTATTATTAGTCTCCGTAATCCATCCATCCACCCACCCACTCACCCACCCACCCACCTACCTACCTACCTATTATCTATCATTTCCTATCTCTTTCTTTCTTCATATTATCTATCTATCTATCTATCTATCTATCTATCTATCTATCTATCTATCTATCTATCTATCTATCATTTATTTATCCATCCATCCTTCCATCCATCCATCCATCCATCCATCCATCCATCCATCCATCTATCCATCCAATCTCCAAACTGTGAACTTAGTCATCCTTGGCACAATGAAAAAACATTCTGGAATGGTGGACCTTAAAGAATCACAGAATAATAGAGTTGGGAGGTACCTCAGAGGTCATCTAGTCCAACCCCCTGCTCGAGCAGGAGAGCCGATCCCATTCCAGGGAAATGGTTTGCTTTGAAAGCAGAGGTGGGTTTTTCCTCCTCTGAACCCGGGTCCCTTGGGTTGTATGGCTGTGTCCAGTTCCTTTGAGGCAGGGGAGGGAGAGCCACATTTGGGAGACCACCAACAGTCCTCAAGTTACAACATTTCATTTTGTGGCCGTCCGAAGTTAGAACGGCACTAAGAAAAGGAACTTAGTGCTGTTTTTCAGACTTACATCCGTTTTTCACACAACCCTGGCAGTCTTTCCCCAGGGTCACGTGATGAAAATTCAGACACTGACTCATATTTATGACGGTGGCAACATCACGCGATCCCCTTTTGTGACCTTCTGATGAACAAAGGTTGTAAAATAGGGGAGAACCCATTTAACAACTGTCTCGCTTAGCAAGGGAGCGTATGGGCTCCGTTGTGGTTGTAAGTCGAGTCGAGGAAGGCTCCGTTGCTATTTTTCCACCTCCAAGCCTTTTGTGGACTTCGATTCCCAGAATTCCCCTGCCAGGTGAGGTGGGGTGAAAGGCCTGGATTACATAGGAAGGTCCAATTAAACTGGCTGAAAGGCAGGAGAATCTCCCCCACTAAATCCATTTATTGGTAAAAAACTTGTACAGGAATCTTCTAGAGGAGGAGGAGGAGGAGGAGGAGGAGGAAGGACTCTGGGTGTTTTTGTTACAGACGTCTCATGACCCAACTAGGGAACATCATCACTGCCAGAATGGAGTACGGTTTGCTCTGTGTTTATGTACAGTTCCTTTGATGCTGTCACCTAGTTGGGTCATAAAACGTCTGGAAGGAAAAAGCCCTTCTCCGCCTTGGATATCCCTCCTTCTTTCTAGCATGGATGGTGTTGCCCAGTTGGGTTATGAAAGGTCTACACCAAGTTCTAGCTCCTCCTCCCCTCCTCCCTCTCCTCCTTCTTCCTCCTCGTAATTCTTTTCCTCCTATTCTTCTTTTCTTCTTCCTTCTCCTCCTCTTGTTGTTGTTCTTCTTCCTCTTCTTTCTCCTCCTAATTCTTGTCCTCCTCCTCATTCTTCTTCTTGCTGTTGTTGTTCTTCTCCTCTTCCTGTTCTTATTTTTCTTCTTCCTCTTCTTCCTCTTCTTCTTCCTCCTCCTCCTCCTCCTCCTCCTCCTCCTCCTCCTGTTCTTCTTCTTCTTCTTCCTCTTCTTTCTCCTCCTATTTCTTGTCCTTCTCCACATTCTTCTTCTTCTTGCTGTTGTTATTCTTCTTCTCCTCCTCCTCTTCCTGTTCTTATTTTTCTTCTTCCTCTTCCTCCTCCTCCTCCTCCTCCTCCTGTTGTTGTTGTTGTTGTTGTTGTTGTTCTTCTTCTTCTTCTTCTTCTTCTTC